CTAGTCCTCTTTTCTCAGTCTTCACAACCCCTAGTCCCTCCCTTCTCAGTCTTCACAACCCCTAGTCCCTCCCTTCTCAGTCTTCACAACCCCTATTCCCTTCCTTCCTCCCTCCTCCCCTTCCTTCCTCCCTCCTCCCTCCTCCCTCCTCCCTCCTCCCTCCTCCCTCCTCCTTCCTCCCTCCCTCCTCCCCCTCCCTCCTCCCTCCTCCCTCCTCCCTCCTCCCCTCCCCTCCCTCCCTCTCCCTCTCCCTCTCCTTCTTCTCTTCTCTGCTTCTCCTCATGGCAAACTTTAGGCGGGCGGGTGCACAACGACAAGGTTGAAAGCTTCTTGGAAAAAACATCTCTCCCTGCTTCAAAGAGGTTGTTGCCACACGGGTCTTGAGCAACGTTGATTTTGCACTTATCGAAATAGCTTCTACCTCTTCTTCTTGCAAACTCGTTTGTGGTTGGAGTGGCGACGTTCTCAGACGACTTCAAGTATTATCACCATCTTCATCAGACTTGTCGCCCTTGCTAAAACTCTGAGCAGAGTCCCGTCAACGTATCTTGCAGGGGAGCACCTTGTTCGCCGGCACTTCGAGCACTTCTTTGGCAAGAGGGTAAGATGTCCACACTTATCTGATGCTTCTTATGCTACCCTGTAAGTTCACGGAAGAGATTCCGATCGTTGCAGCGTTTCCGGATGTTTACCAGACAGAGAGCAACTACAGGTGAGCGAACCTTGATGCTAATGCCCAGACGCTCAACGTCTTTCCCTCAGAGCCATCGGACTCGATCGTCCCATGCCGCACAACAAGGAGCATCATCTTGGCTTGCTCTGTGCTACCTTGCTCCTCTCGCCCCTCCTCCAGCTTATCTGACTGCAGGTTCGCGATGGAATCTACGTCCGCAGGAGGTGCGGGTGGTATGCACGGCTGCGCATGGTCGGGTGAATTTCAGTACAGGTCGTTCTGATCGATGATGACTACTCCAACGTGGACGCGGCGATCCGCCATGGCTACAACGCTATCTTCGTTAGGTAGCATCGCGAGCTGACTTGGACGCAAGGCGTGACTTGTTTGGTCCTGCTAGGGAGAGGACCGGGCTGCGAGCAGCTGACATTCTCGAGTCAGAGCTAGGCCGCAGGTGAGATGCCAGTGAAGTGAAGGGAGAAAGACTCGCAAGTCACCTTCCCCTTTCAGTTGAGCAGCCTCGGCCTGCTGTATAGCAGTAGTGTCCGTCCGATCTGAGATGCGACTGCGTGCATCTGTCGGGACCCACCGGGTAAGGGGCAGCCACTGGCGCTGATCGGATGTCTCTGGGGGTGCCGTACGGTAGCCAGCACAGGGCCGTGCGCAACTTGGTCATCACCGTTCTCGGAGCTTCCGAAGTTCGAGGCCCGCTGGAAAGGCTCTTTCCGCCGATCTGCCCGGGCACCGCGGGCCGTCCCACAGTGAACAGCACAGTCCGGTCAGGCCCGCTGACGTTAGGTAGACCCCATGGACTATCAGTACCGTGCCTCCGTTCGGCCCGTGGCAGTCACAGTGCCGCTAGTCTGGCAAACTTAGCCCCGGGCCGCGCCCGGCGGCCCGGGCCCCGGCTGACGCGGCGCGGGCCCGACTCGGTACTCGGAAAACGTGATAGCTGATCGAACGGTAGTTTCAAGTAAACTAAATGGCATAGTTACTGAGTCGCCAGTGTGTGAGTGAGCAACTATTCCCCTCCCCCCCCCCAGGGCCCCGGTCACCCGGATCACCGTCCGACGGTCACAAGTACCGTACGGCCCGGCCGTCCGGGCCGCCGCTGCCGCTGTGCCGGGCCCCGGGCCCGGTCCCCGACCCCATCATTATGGCATCGGACTCCGGGAGCGAGAGGTTCTTTGAGAGGGGTTGGGGGGCGGAATGCACGAGAGGCAGGTGCGGAAGGGAACATGAAGAGAAGAAGGAGAGGGACAAGTAGGGAAGAGAAGAAGAGAAGAAATGAGGAGGAAGAGGACGAGAAGAGGAGAAGCAGGAGAAGAAGAGAAGAATAGGAGGAGGAGGAGGAGGAGGAGGAGATGAGAAGCAGGAGAAGAATAGGAGGAGGAGGAGGAGAAGAAGAAGAAGGAGAAAGAGAAAAGAATAGGAGGAGGAGGAGAGGGAAGGAGGAGGAAAAGAAGAAG